CAAGACCGCCGCCAAAGCCGCCGGGCTGGTCGCTGCCATGGCCGCCAGCCGCTCGGTTCCTAGTGGCCGCCCGCCACCGGCGTGGGGCGTCGGCCCGTCGCTGAGGAACTGTTCGATGCTAAATGGCGAGGGCCGGAACGAGGCAGCTTCGTACTGCCCCGACGAGACGCCGGCCGACGCACCCAGCGCCGTCGGCGTGCCGATCCGAGCCGGTCCGGGCGAGCTGTGGTAGATGGGCAGCATGAATGGCGTCGAGCCGCTCTGCTGGTGGTGCTGCTGCTGCTGCAGGAGCCTCGATGGGATGCCCGGATGGCCTGCGCCACCACCGCCGGGGCCGCCGCCGCTTTGCAGGTTTCCGAAAAACGACGGCGTGGTGGCCGCTGTGGGCGTGTTGGCGCTCGAGCCGAGCAGGCCGCTGAAGCTGACGCCGGTCGAGCCAAACGGGTCAAACTCGGCGAGCATCGGCATCGGCGTCAGCGCAACGGCCGGCTGGTGCGCCTGCGCCGGACGCGGCATAGAGGCCGCCTCGGGGTTGTCGCGCGCCGCCACCGCCAGCTTGTACAGCACCCGCAGCCCGCCCTTGGCCACCTTGAGGCCCGTCCAGCGGTCCGGCATGCGGTCAAAGATGTCGGTGAGGCACGCCAGATCCTCGAGCGCGCTCGCCGCGTGCTCGCTGTTGGGGCGCAGAAAGACGATGTACGCCCCCACCACCACCGCCTGGTACGAGTAGAAGGAGACCTTCCAAAACATCGCCGCCCTGGCCCGTCCGAGGAGCTCCGTCATCATCCGCTGCGCTTTGGTGATCTCGCGCAGGTAGCGCGTGCAGGCGCGGAGGCTCGTTTCGTTGACCCGGTCCTGATCACCGCCGCGGCCGGCCTCGCCCTCGCCGCGGGAGGCAGGCGAGCCGCTCATGGTCGAGGCGGAGCGCCCGCCGTCCTGGGCCGCTCCAGCGGCGGCATCGTCGCCATCGGCCGCGGCGCTGGAGAGCAGGTTGGAGCGGTGGAGCGACAGCAGGACGTAGCTGACCTCGATGGCCAGGTTGCACGATTGGTGCACCTCCATCAGGCCCTTGATGTTGAGGTCGACGCCGGCCACCTGGAAGTTGCGGATGGCCTCGTCGTCGTCGCGGCGCGGGCCAAAGGGGTCGAGCGCGTTGCCGGCGTCGATGTGGTACTGGGCCGGGATGTCGGCATACCACGCCTGGACGCGCTCGGTGAACGAGTCAATCTGCCGCTGCGACCAAGAGTGGTCCTGGTTCTCGTCGAGGCAGGTGCGGGCAAACTGGCTCAGCTCGCACTGGAGCGCGGCAAAGTTGCGGCTCGAGGGGCCGGGCGAGGCGGGGAAGCGGGTGTTGAAGCGGGTGATGCCGAGCGGCCGACCAAAGATGCCAGAGAGGATGACGTCCTGGTGCACAATGGCCCACCAGAGGCGGCGGCGGATGTCCTTCTCGGTGTCGTTCCAGTCGGGCCGGATGCGGTCCGGATCGACATGGAGGCCAATCGACTGGGACTGGCGCGCCAGGCTGCCCAGCAGCGGCCAAAAGTGGCTCGCCCGCTCCGTGTTGAGCAGGTAGGAGCCGATCAGCAGCTGCGCGTGGATCGTCTGCAGCGTCGGCGAGCTGAGGAACGAGCAGAGCCGCAGCGCCTGGTACGTGGCCGAGAGGTAGACGTCCGAGAAGAGCTGGGGCGTCCGGGCCTTGCCACCGACGCCAGGCAGCACGCGCGAGGGATGCGATCGGGCGCCCTCGGCCCCGCCGTCGTTGTTAGGCGCCGGCGAAGAGGCGGCGCTCGGGGCTCGCGAAGGGTCGGCGCCGCCGATGAGGGCGTCGATGTGCTGCTGCCGGCCGTGCTGGTCGGACGAGATGATGGTGTTCTCCAGGTCGCAGTTGATGCCCATGGCGCAGATCATCAGAAACACGGCGAGCCAGGGCAGGGGCACGCCCGCCTGCTGCTCGCGCGGCAGCCGCGAGAACTCGCGGGCGTGCTCGATGGCGCTGGGCACCGTCAGCGCGGGGCACATTGCCGAAAAGTGGCGCACAAACGCCTGGCAGATGGCGTCGAACTCGTCGGGCGTCGGAAAGAAGGGTAGCACTTCGTCGAGGAAGCGGTCGCCCGAGCTCCAGATGGTGGCAAAGGGGAAGGTGTCGCTCGAGGGGTCGAGGAGGCGGTTGAAGGCGGCCTGGATGTCGCGCTTGACCGCGTTCGTATGGCCCTCGGCCGTCGTCGAGGTAACGCCGGCCGCGGCGCCGCCGACGTGGCCGCCCATCGCCCTGGCGGCGTCGCTGGGCCCGTAGGGTCGTCCCCCCGAGTGCCCCGAGGAATGGAAGGCGGCGTGCCCCGGGCGCGGCGTCGCGGCG